TTTGCATACAAGAATAAATTCCTATACTTGGTGACAAAATTTTTTATGACGAAGTACATTATAGAGACATCCCTATACTTTAGCCTCTTACAGGTAGACTGTACTATAGACAGTGGTCAGAAAAGCCAAGAAAAGAACCATATGTGAAGCTCATTATTACTAACTCCTAGATGGGGGATAAGCTTTTGGAAGCCATTCCTATTTTTGACAAAGATGTCTTTCTTCACTCCAGCCCAGACTGAGGCAATATTAAATATTTAAAGAGTGTGTGGGTTATAGAAACATAAAGATTTCCAAACCTGCATGTTCTTTGGGGGGGAAAAAGGAAGACTTTAGTTTCAATTTTTTTATTGGTCAATCTATACATAATTAATCGTTGCTTTTGTATGTAAGAATGTTAATTTCCAGTAAAAATAAAAAATCCTCTAGAAATATATTATAGAATTATAGTAGAATTCCATCTGGAATGCTAATGAATAGTTTGGTTGACTGTGATGTGTATGATGATGATATGTGTAGGAGCATAGATTATGAGCTATAAGGGACCTGAAATGTCATCTAATGTCTATTCCCTTTATTTTACAGCTGAAGAAACTTTTTAAGGCCTAGAAAAGCAAAATTATTGACCCAAGGTCTTACCCGCAGTAATTGACAGAGCTGGGATTTGAACCCAGGTCTTCTGAATACTTTTAATCCACAAGTCACTATCCTGCCATCCTGTTGTTCTTTCAGCATTTCATGGCACTCACAAATCATCTTAACTCTTCGCGATACCCATATGATTCCTTGTTCCTGTTCATATCCTCCCTCGCTTTACATATGCTTCCACACAAATCATGATCCTTACCCTATTCTTGCTTCCTCTTCTTCCCCCAGCTGTCTCTCTCACCTCCTGCTCACTTTCTTTTAATAGTGTCCCACCTTCATTTTGAGCAAATTCTCCTTTATCATAAGCCTATTTCACCGCTGTCTCTACCTTTGCACCCTAACTGAAACCTGGTTCTCTTGAACACATTGTTCACTGTTATCCTCTCCTGTGAAGAGCGAAGAAGCTATGCCTTCTCTTTGATTCCTGTGGCACTTCTGGGTCATGGGTTCACCACCTCTTTCCTAGTTCTTATCTCTTGAAGTCAATGACATTCAGTGCATTCAGAAAGTATCGTCTTTTCCTGGGGGACAAAGTACAAGACTCGGCATCAGAGGACCTAACTTCTAATCCCAGACCCCGTCAATTACTACCTGTGTGATGTTGGGGAAGTCACTGTCTGTCTCTGGACCTCAGTTTACTCATTTCTAAAACAAAGAGTTAGAAGTAGATTGACTTTAAGATTCCTTCCTACACTATATCCATGGTCTCATGACCTTGATTAGCTCACATACAACTTTACTTTGCCTCTTCCCTAGTGTACTCATCATTAAATATCATGTACCATAGTTATTTGTGTCTCATAACTCAATTAGACAGGAAATACCATATATTTCAAAAGTGCACTGACCGTGGTTTTGTCAACATAGGAAACCTACAGTATAGGAATTGCCTCCATCAAATGGTGATCATAACTTGTTTGTGACTTAAGAGATAGGTCATATGGTTTGCCTTTGGCCTAGATATATTAAATGAATTGTCCACGGTCAATTGGACAGTTCAGATTTTTCTCCTCTTGACTCAAAAGCCAATACTCCAGTCATTGCACCACAGGCTGTCCTTACAAACAATCAACAAACATTTGTTGAACACCTATGTTCAGGTACTGTGCTAGACACTGAAGATACAAAGATAAAAATTAAACAATCCCTGCCTTCAAGGAAATTACATTTCCTTTGGTGAGACATTTACATATAAGAGTATGTATACACACATATACATACGCAAAAAATACAAAGTTTTAGGGGCAGAAATATATGAGCAATCAAAGGGACCATGAGGCAATAGGGTTTGAATTGAGTTAAAACAAGCCAGCAGTTCTAGGAAGTGGAGGTGATGGAGTGCATTTCAGGAACCGAGATCAGCCGTTGCAAAGGCACAGTGACAAAGAATGGGGAGTCTGTATGAAGAGTAGCAAGAAGGTCAATTTGGATAAACCACAAAGTATGTGGCATATAGTAGGTGTTTAATAAATATTTATAGAATTGAATTGAATGGGAAAAGATGCTCTGTCTGATTAATAAGGCTAGAAAGGTGCCATATTTTTAAGTCTATTAAGTGCTCCATACACTGTAGGCATCTAATACAAGTTAGAATGAATGAATAATACTTCCTTCAAATCATTAATGCTATAGTCATCCACTTCCACAGGGCCCATTTTCATCTTCCTAGATCATTTTTAAACCTGATTTCCTTTTTCCTTTCTTCCCCATCACTACTGCCCCCAGCAATTTTCACTGACTTCTCATCCAGACTCCTCATTGCCATAACTCCTTATTCTCCTTGAGTCTGCAATTTCAAACATTCCAAGACCCACTTTGAGTTAGTTTGAATGAGGCAACAGTGGAAAGAACACTGAATCTGTAGTCAAAGTGGCCCTAACCCAATCACTTCACCTCTCTGAACCCCACTTTTTAAATATTTCTCATAGGTTTGTTGTGAGGAAAATGTTTCACTTCAAAGATCTCTGTGATCTCTGATTACAGCTCCCTTACCTGTCGTCTCTGTTACCTTATACTCAACAAACCAGTGAGTTCCAACACTGGAGGTCACCCACTCCTTGAAACTCTCCATTGGCTGCTATAACACTGTGATAACAATAATGACAATAATAACTACCATTTAGATGGCACTCTAAGGTTTACAGAGCACTTCACATTTATTATCTCATGTGATCCTCATAACAACTCTGTGAGGTAGGTAATACAGTTATTCCCATTTTACAGATGATGAAACTGAGGCTGAGAGGTTAAGTAACTTGCCCAAGGTTACACAGCTTGGAAAGAAGGAAACAAGCATATTTTTTTAGGCAATTGGGGTTAAGTGACATGCCCACGGTCATACAACTAGTATCAAGTGTCTGGTCTGAGACCGGATTTGAACTCAACATCTCCTGACTCCAGGACAGGTGCTGTATCCACTGTGTCATCTGGCTGCCCCAGAAACAAGCATTTATTAAATGCCTGCTATGTGCCAAATGCCATGCTAAAAGCTTTGTGAATAATATCTCATTTGAGCCTTACAACCACCCTGGAGGGTAGGCACTATTATTATTCCCATTTTACAGTTGAGGAAACTGAGGCAGAGGTTAAGTGATTTGCCCAGGATCACATGGCTAGAAAATACTGAGGCTAGATTTAGCTCTTCCTAACTGTAGGCACAGCATTCTATCCACAGTTCTACCTAGGAGGTATCTGAGGTAGGATTTGAACATGGCTCCTCTTAACTCCAAGTCTAGAACACTTACCCACTGTACCACCTAGCTGCCAACAATTTCCAGTTAACTGACTTCCAAGTTTCTTGCCAGCTCCAATATACTAGCTATTTTAGGAGACCTGTGGTAAATCCAGGAAAAGTGAAAATTCTTTCTATAAATCAATGAATCACTATGTAAAGCCACCACCTCAATATAACTGTTCTATAGGTTAGATTCAAAGAAAATATGTTTTCTTAAAGAAAGCATAACAGAACTTATCTCACTGATCGATGAATAGTTATGAAACACAGGGATATGGTGTTGTTGTGCCCAGCCTATGAAGGAGCATGTTAAGGAAGATGTAAAGTTATGTAGAATGGTCCTAGGTTTCACTCTAGGGAGACTCTTGGACCTTATAATACTTCATATTTTGCATGCATCAGTTTGGACTACAGACCAATTCCCATTCGTGGTCATAGTAGGAAATTTGCTGCCAGGCTGAGTCAGTTCTTGAGGTCTAGGGAATATCTGATCGGGGTTGGGGGAGGGTATTTGTGTTGGGTAGTTCCTGCTTCCTTAGATGTCTTCTAAGCCACCCTGGCAAAAAATAGATGCCAATGGAAAACAACAGGACTTGCAGTAGGGAGGACTTAGATGTATATCTTGACTCTGACACTTCTTATACGATCGTAGGCAAGACGCTTAATTTCTTTGAGCCTCATCTATAAAATGGAGATGAAAATACTTGTCCTAGCCACTTCCTAGGGTTTATAAACCTTAAAGGGTGATGTAAATTTGAATTATTATTCAAATTACTATTAGGATCTAGTCAGAGCAGCCTGAAGGTGTATAGGTTCATAGATTCAGAGCTAAAAGGGATTTTATGGGTCATACTGCCTGAGACTCCAGGAGGTTACATGACCTGCCCCAGCTCTCACAGATAGTAAGAGAGGTATGACTTTTGTGGAAATTTTGGTAAGGTGTAAAAATTGTCCAGTGGTTGCTATGTTCACCTTCACCTCTTGTCCCACTTTAGGGGAAAGGTATCGGGAACAAGGATGTGTGATTATCAGATTAGGAGCAAAATATTAATTGTATGCTTCTTTACTATGTGAGTTTAAGGGTGTTATAAAAAGCAAGGAAATAGTAGGAGCAAAAATTGGCATTCTAAAGAGCTTCAATATTGTACCAATAAATAAATAAAAGTTTCTCTTAAGGCATTTTTACCCTGGCATTTTCAGTCCAGATTTTGCTTTCTGAATATTAAATGGTGGATACTGACCATGTAGCTCCGTGTGAGTGTAACCACGAATCCCTAAAGTTGAAAGCTTCCAGCATGTTAATTGGAATCTGTTTTAGTCTTTCCCTCGAACTTTGTTTTCAATTAACTGAAGGCTACTTGTTTTTCTGATACATTAGTATCAAAAGTGTTCCTGAAAAAAGACTCTAAAACTGATACAAAAGCAAGTAGTCATGGCTAAGTCACTTAGAGTCCAAGACAAATGAGAAATATACTTTCTGTTGAGTGGAAATAGACAGTCTGACAGAAATACAGTTCTTCCTTCTGATCCAGGGCTGACATCCTGCTTTTGCTGTCCCTGAAACTGCATGGGCAGTCTTAGTACATTTAACCCCGCCCCTCCTTGAGAAATCCAGCCTTTATTTATACAATGTCTGTGGTCCAGCTGAGCTCAGAGGGTGCCTGCGTGTGTTGTGTGTTTGTGTGTGTTTGCTCGTGTGTGGGGGGACGCCTGCATGTGGTGGAGGAGATGTTCTGGAGTCATAAGATCGTCTGGTTCCGAGTGGTTTTAGTCTGCGAACTATTAAGGGATCATGGAGAACTTTTTTTCGGGTAACAAGAGAACTAAGTAAGTACACAGAACTTTGAACTTAAATCTGAATGAAATGAAGGGAAGCGGTTTTAACAGTGAAGACAATCCATTCAATCTGGATGTTCATTTTTTTCTTAAATCCATAAATGCTTAGAGGAAAATGTCAGTTTTAAACTGAATGGGGACTGTTTTAAGGAGCATAAAAGTAGAATGATTTAAAGTGGAGAGGGGAAAAAACTGAGAAACTGCTAAGGAAACCTGGCCAGCATCCAGCTGTGTTACAAGCTCTTTTGGTTTTAACTGATTGCATTCTTAGATGCTATGATCTGATTTGAGCTTTTTTCTTTTTCTTTTCTTGTCAAGCTGAGGCCAAGACTTCCGCTCCTTGACTGAGTGACTTAAAGGATGTTATAAAAACAAGACAGTGTAGGAAGCTAAAGATTGGCACCATATGGAGCTTAGATTTATTAATTACGGCTATCATCATTAGTCTGGGTTCTTAAACCCACGTTGGGCATATGACTGTCACTCATGGAAGCATTTTTGTCCATTGTTCACTGACTTTGGGGGACCCCATGGTTCCTTGGCGAGCTTTCTTGGAAAGTTCAGGAGAAGGCATGGAGCAAACTTGACTTCGCTGTGGAAAAAAAAAAGAGGACACGTTTCTGCCTTTTACACTGCCAACAACAACAACAAATAGCTGCTATGTGTTTTCCAGCAATGTGGACAGGGGCCAAGTGAAGGTGAACTGGTCATGGTTTGTCGCCAGATCTTCCTCTGTCGCCGGCGTTTCTGCCCAAGACCCTTCTTTCTGGGCTTAGTGGTAGCAATCTGCCTCTTCTACCAGACTCTGACACTCATAGGGACGAGGAAACTTATATCAGCTGTTACTGGGGCTTCCCCATACAAAGTGGCTGAAAGTTATCAAAGCCAATCCAAGGAAACTGCCACAAGGGATACATATTGCTTCCCGTCATCAGATGGCGCACAGGTAACCCAAAAGGTAAGCAAATCTAATGAATTTAAGTGAGACCACTTTTCACAAGGGTAGCACTCTGCCTTTCTCTCTGTTATTCCTGTATAACTAAAATTAACCTTCATGTGGTCTGAAAGAGATCCAGAGTATAAACAGAGCTGAGAATGACCTCACAACAATGTGAAGTTCAAAAACCCATGTCAACATTAACTCGAGCCTTTAGCATGCTTGTTGCCGGCCAGAAAATCCTAAATAAATTTGCTTAAACTATTCCATAATTATTCTCTCCCCCTGTCTCTCTTCTTATCTCTTCTTATCTCTCTCTCCTTATCTCTCTCTCTCTCTCTCTCTCTCTCTCTCTCTCTCTCTCTCTCTCTCTCTCTCTCTCTCTCTCTCTCTCATCTTCTCTCTCCTTATCTCTGTCTCTTTCTCTCAGAATTTCAGTTCATCATGGCTAACTGACAGATACTTTTTGGGTAGGTTTTATGCTTTTTAAGTTTTTAGAAATGCTCTTTCAGGGCAAGCATGTAAATCAAAGATTCATAGAACTTCATAAAAATAATGTCTCTTTACACCAGACCATGGGTATTAATGTCAAGAACTATGGGAGCAAAATAATAACCATATATTCCTTTACTACATAAATGTGTTTGAAGATTTTCTATGACTTCTTTAAAAAACTTTTTGAATGTATTTTTAATAAGTGGAATGCAATGTTTCTAAAAATATTTTCTGTCTCATTGACAATCTTTAGGAAGTGCTTCACATGAAAATCACAATAGTCAGTAATCTACAATATTAGAAAAGTATAGATTATGCTTACAGCCCTTCTGGGAACTTTGACAAATCTTGTCAAAAACATTCCTACTCCACACACAGTACATACACCACAGCTTCAATACTACACTGTCCTCTAAGTTCCTTACTATAGATAGAGCAATGTGAGAGTGAAATCCTTCTGATATTACCAGCAATAAACTCCCATGACAGTGAACCTGCCTTATACTGAATTGCATACTATCATAGTTAGATTTGTAACAAGACTCCATTGCAATTATTTTTATTTGGGAATCTGGTGCTAGTACATTATAACTACATTAGAAGTGCATAGCACCAAGGATATTGATAAATGGAATAGAACTTTATTGAATGATTGTTCAAATAGGTTTCTGAACAGAAATCAATCAATTCACCAAGTATTTTAAACATCATGGAAGATATTCTCTTGTTCAATAAACTCCAGTGTCTCTCTATAACCTCTAATAAAAAATACAAACTATTATGCTTGGCATGGAAGGCCTTTCACAATCTGGATCCATCCTACTCTTTAAGGTTTATTCTATGTAATTGCCCTTGGCGTATCCTACAATATGACCTGTCTGGCTGTTGAGCTGTTTCTCAGACACAACATTCCATCTCCGGACTCCATGCCTTTGTAAAGGCAGTCTCCCATGACTGGAATGCATTTTTGCTTCATCCTTCATTGATACCTCTTAGAAAACTTAGTTTCCTTCAAGGTCCAGTTCAAGCACCAGCTCTTTCTTACATGAAGTCTTTCCTGATATCCCTAGATGTTAGCAACCTTCTCCTAAAATTACCTTCATTTTATTTTAATCTAATCTATATATATACTTGTGCATGTATATATGGTCCATTTGTCCTTCCATACCCACTCCCCTGAACTAGTGGGGATTGTTTCACTTTTGTTTTTTTTATCTCTTGGGCCTAGCACAGTGCCTAGTACGTTTAATGTATGTATGTTGATCAATTAACTGATTTAAGATACAGTCTCATTAAGGAGCTTACTGCATAGATATAATAGATAATAGCTATAACATAATGGAGTATAAGACAAAATATATGTATGTATATGTGTGTGTATTCTTAAAGTGCATATATAAAAAGAAGTATATATATATATATAAAGTAGAATATATAATATACATAAAGAAGTATGTGTATATGTATATGTATGTAGTATGTGTGTGTATATATGTGTATGTGTGTGTGTTCCATCTATCTATCTATCTATCTATCTATCTATCTATCTATCTATCTATCTATCTATCTGTCTGTCTATCTATCTGATTGTGATCAGGGCTGAATAGGGATCTAGACAAAGTACTTGAAGAAATATAAGGAGAGATCACAGAAGGCGAAAGTGATAAATAAGCAAGGAGAAAGACTTCAGTAAAAGGAATATCTACAATCATGCTTTGTAGGTGTGTAGCAGATAACACTGGGGATCCAGACAAGCATTTGTCTAGAATTAGAAAGAATCTCAGAGGCTACTCAGACCAAATAGCAGAGTTTGCTTAGAATGTGTGTGTGTAAACAGAAGTAGAATGAAATAAGACTAAAAAGGCAGGTTGGAGCCAGACTATGGCCTAAAACGTCAACCTTTGGAGTTTTTTATCATCGAAAGGTTTCACTGCTGAAAGGTTTTCAGACAATTGGACTTCCACACTAGGAAAGCTATTTTGGCAGCCATGTGAAGAATGAGTTGGGAGAGGAAAGACTCAAGGCAGAGTGACCAGTTAGAATGATATTACATTTGATTGATGGATTCAGTAAAAGCTTTTTGGAGGCAAAGTACTTGAGATAACAGCTAATAACAGCAGCCGCAAAAACAACTTTGACAATAAAAACTAGCATTTGTATAGCACCTACTGAGTGCTCAGCACTTTACAAATATTTCATACTTAAAACAAATCTGGGAGGGAAGTGCTATTATTATTCCCATTTTAGAATAAGGAAAACTGAGGCAAATAAGGGTTAAGTGACTTGCCCAAGGTCACACAGTAAGTTTTTAAAGCTGGATTTGAACTCAGGTCTTCCTGACTTCCTGACTCCAGGCCCACCGCTCTATTCCCTACATCCTAAGCCCTAAAGGATGGATAGAATTTCAACAGACAAAAATTGAGAAGGTAGGGAGGGCAGGTATTACAAGTAGGTAGAATTGCATGAGTAAATGCTCTGGGCCAGGAAAGTAAGAGGGAAGAATAAGAATTGTTGGGAACATAGAGTTTCTGTAAAAGAATAGTGGGAAAGACAGATGGAGGTTTTATTGCAAAGGACCTTGTATGCCAGGTTAAGAAGAATGGATTTTATTTTGTTGTCAGTGAGAGGTCACTGAAGGTTTATGAGCTAAGGAATGGCACAATTTGAACTATGCTTTTAAAAAGTTTAATTGGTCTGTAGTGTAGAGGACAGATTGGCTCCTCTTTTTCTGTAAAGGTTATCACTAACCTTCACGATTTGGAAATCATACTTGACTCCTCAGTCACCATCACCCCACATATCCAATCAATCACCAGATCTTGATTCCGCATCAACAATATATCTAGCAACGATTGATCGCCTTCTTGCTGTTTGTACATCCAGCAATCAATCAAGCAGTAAATATTTATTAAGTGCCTACCGCACCCTAGTTCAAACTTTCAGTACCTTGCATGTGAACAACTAGCTTTCTAATTTGTCTCCCTTCCCCAAGTTTTTTCCTTCTCCAGTCTGTCCTCCATCTGCCAAAATAATTTTTTTTTGTGTGTCACTCTCCTGTTCAGTAGACTACAGTGGTTCCCTGTCAAATCAACTAGCCCTGAAAATGGGTGGTGCTACAGCATCAGGCCTACACCTGGGTCTTTGTTGGTTCCCTGCTTTTTCTACAAAGTATGAACTTTTTCGTTTGGTGTTTAAATCCTTTCTGCCTCTCACATGCTCTTTGGGCCAGCCAAACTGGACCATTTGCCGTTCCTCACATGATACCCACTATCTCTTTTCTCCATGATTTTAGACTGGCTATACTCCAAGGCACTCCTCAACTCCATATCTTAAAAATCCGCAACTGCACTTCCCGAATTACATTTTATTTATTCTGTGTCTTCTGTATATACTAATATATGTTATTTCTAATGATATACTATTTGTAAAGCATTTAGCATAGTGCCTAGCACACAGTAGGCTTCAAAATCCTTATTCCCTTTCACCCTATTATTATCTCCCTTGATAAAATGCGAGCTTCTTGAAGACAGAAATGGTTTAACTTTTGTTTTTGTATCCCAGCAAGTCAAGTCAACAAGTATTTATTCAGTACTTACTATGGCCCAGTTACTATGTTAAATACCGGGGAGAGAGAGAAAGAGAGAGAGAGAGACAGACAGACAGACAGACAGACAGACAGACAGAGACAGACAGAGAGAAAGACAGAGAGAGAGAGACAGACAGACAGACAGAGACAGAGACAGAGAGACAGAGACAGACAGACAGAGGTAAAATCCAGTTCCGTTTCTCAAGGAATTCAAAGTATGATGGGGAAGACAATGTACCAACAATTATATACAAATAAGATCTACACACAGGCTAACTTGGAGATAATCAGAGGGAAGGCACTGGTATTACAGAGGACTGGAAAAGTCTTCTTGCCCAAGATGGGACTTTGGCTGAGACTTGAAGGAATCAAGGGAAGCTAGAAGGCAGAGGTGAGGAAGTATTCCAGGCACAAGGGATAGCTGAAGAAAATGGTGAGAGTCAAGAGATGGCACGTAGTATATGAGCAAGCATACTATTGGACCCCCAATACAATGTTTTCATCTTCTACCTCAGACCACTTCTCCAAAGAAAAATGTAAGGTCTATACTACTACTTTGTGAAATCACAATTGTAAGGATTTATAATTATATGAAATAATATAGAGCTAAAGCCTTTCTTGACTTTGACTAATTTTTTTTCTATTTTGACTCCTTTTCAGTGCTTATTCTGTTATCAATCAGAAGGTTAAAAAACACCTTAACTTTGAGACATATGTGACAATAATAGACAATTAATATAACTTGTAGTCAAATGCAAGCATTTTAAACTGTCCTATAATTATAGTGGGGGTTTTTTGTTTGTTTTTTTTAGTTCAGACCCATGATTTCACTGGTGCAGGGAGTTTCCAGGGAAGAAGCTCCTTTTATCATTGCAGATCCATAAGCAATCTTCAACTTACAGTCATCAAGTATTACCTGGAGAAACAAGGGGGTTATGAG